AGTAAGATTAAACCGTTTATGAGCAGTACTCATTACGACAATATGATGTATTTCAGATAAAGTTGGGTTTCAAAGGAATTTTCTTAATGTGTGTATCAGTATTTGGAGGTGCGTTATCAATCATTTCTTTCACGCTTCTTCTTCTTTTCTTCTTCAAATTTTTCTTCTTCAGATTCTTATTTTCTTCAGATTCTTTTTTTTCTTTTTCTTCTTCAGATTCTTCATCTTTTCAGATCTTTTTCTTCTTCTTCAAATTCTTTTTTCAGATTTCTTTCTTCAGATGTCTTCTTTTTCTTCTTCAGATTCTTATTTTTCTTTTTCTTCCTCTTCGGATTCTTAATCTCTTTCAGATTGTTTTCTTGTTTTTTTTTTCAGATTCTTATTTTCTTCAGACTTTTCTTTTTCTTTTTCTTCTTCTCCAGATTCTTCATTTTTTTCAGATTGTTTTCTTCTTCCTCTTCAAGTTCTTATTTTTTCAGATTTTTCTTCAGATTTCTTCTTCTTCTTTTTCTTCTTCAGATTCTTATTTTTCTTCAGTTTCTTCTTTTTCTTTTTCTTCCTCTTCAGATTCTTAATCTTTTTCAGATTGTTTTCTTGTTCTTCTTTTTCAGATTCTTATTTTCTTCAGATTCTTCTACAGATTTCTTTTCTTCAGTTTCTCCTTCCTTTTCTACTTTCGATTCTTCTACTTTTGATACAACTTCTTCAGATTCCTCTTTTTCTTCTTCTTCTTCTTTACATTCTTCTTCTTGTCATTATTGTTCAATACACATTTCTTAGGTGCATTAACACACACAATATACATATACACACAGCCGCACGCAACACAGATGAAACAAACACACACACTACATCGAACATTGGAAAGTAATGACGTATAAAATTGTCATCATCTTACGCAAACCCCATGTATAAATGTTTCCCCTCAAGTGCTTTGTCCTAGAATTAATAGATCTAAAATTTCGCACTGGGGGTAAAAGATCAAAGAAGTGGTACTCGAGATACTAGCTGTCTTTGGTTAATATTTTTGCTCTGCTGCGACAGCGAGAATTATAAATGTTCTCCGAGGAAGGCAACAAGCATCCGACTATTTTCTGGGCAAAATCTATAATCCTCTAGAGTGCTCTCCTGTCCGCTGCAGAGCAACCGGTATACCAAACGGTGATGTCGTACGCCAGCCCACTCTTAACAGGGCAGCAGTAGATCATCAGCAGCTTCCATTGTAAATTATTTTTTCTGAGTAAATAGAGTCACTTCTATGGCAGGGGTATTGTTAGTCTCAGAGAGATCCTGTACAATGCGCGTGCCCAAAAACTTAATTTTATCCATTCTCCCGACAGAGGACCAGCCGTTAACTAAAGGGAGAAGTTCTGGAACATTAGTCTGAAAGTTTCCTAACAGCTCCTTTACTTTTAAGGCATTCAAGGCAAGAAAGTTCCATGCAGCCAATCTTTCTATTTCACACATGCAGTCCGTTTCACCAGGCCTTGAAATGTGTTCAAACACAGTAGTGTCGTACGCAAACAATGAACGTGTTGGTGGAATGGATAGGAACGTAATCATGAGTGCAGATGAGGAACAGAAGAGGGCTTAATGCACATCCATGAGGGGGCACCGATGCCGAGCATGAGAGTAGGGGAGAGTGGGTGGCCTATTCTGACAGTTCGTCGGCAATTTGTCAGGAATTTCTTTTTAATATAATCTTTCTCAATTACCAGTCGCACACATACTCATATACGTATATATTGTGTATTTAGGCATCAATCCTTCATTTATACATGTTTCATTAAAGACGACAGGCAAGGTACTGCGATTAATCTTTTTATTTAATTTTTCTTGTGTTCGAACAAGTGTTTTGTTTTTTGGACACAGAGTATGTAGAAACTGTCCTTATGTTCTATAATTCCGAACGCTTTCGGCTATATTTTTAGCCATTATCAAGGATGATTTTATTTTTTCAATATAATTGGCTTTGTGGATTGTGTGTATGTTTTTAGTGTTATAGAGATGTTTTATTTTCTGAAAACAGCACATTGTCGCTGTGTTCATAGTTAATATTACTGAGTGTTGGCCGTTTCTTTTTTATTATTAAAGCTTCCATTATTTTTAATCTTTTTTTACACGTGTGTGAGGTTATTATGTTTGTATTTTCTACTAGTATGTTTCGGGTGGAGCGTGGTAAGTTTGTGTGTGCAGGTTTAAATGGATTCTAATAGAGCTGTGTTCAGATAGGTGTAACATAAGGCGTCTGAATGATATATATATATATATATATATATATATATATATATATATATATATATATATATATATATATTGATCTTGACATGGCATTTCCACTTTAATCCCTTTCCCACTGCCGTAATGTAGCTTCCCCGTGTCTTTTCTATAAATACTTTCATGGTAATTGTTCTGAGGAACTCTCTTCTATGGTACTTAGTTTTTATGAACTTAAGCGCAGTACTAGATTGGCGACTAGGTCTCATCATTTTACAGTCGAAATGTCTAGATGCAATCGAAAGTTCTATTCTAACAGTTTCTTTTCTCGCACTTCTCGTTTGTGGAACCATCTTCCGGCTTCGTGTTTTCCAGTCAATTTTAGTCTTCAAAAGTTTAAATGCAATGCCAATCATTGTCTTCTGTTCGCTTAAATTCTATTCTTTTATTGTTCTTACTCCTTATTAATGTTTCTCTTATATCGCACTCAATAACCCCCCTGCATGTTAGTGAGACTGTTGGCTTGCTTGCGGTGAAATTATATATATATATATATATATATATATATATATGACTAATAGTGGGTAAGTGAATGACAAAATGGAAAAAACTTTCAGTGACGCGTTTTTGTTTCAAGAAGGAACCCTTTCAGATTAATGATTTTATTGACAAAATCTAAGATTAGACAACTTAAACAATAACGATAAAATTAAAATAAAAATAAAATTGTAAAAAGCTGAATGCGGTAGGTAAGTTAAATATTTGGATATACACTGGATGTCAACATTTCAATGAAATGGCAAAAAGAGCGTGTAGGGATACAAAAAGTGATTATCTTACTTTGTTGGAGTTGAAGTCATGTTACGCCCTCTTAGTGATGTCACTTCATACAGTGGTGAATGTGGTAGTCAGTCATTCAGTTTCCTGAAGTCAACACACACACACACACACACACACACATATATATATATATATATATATATATTTATATGATAAAATAAATATAGCTTTAAGGTATGCTATATTTATAGGGTAAAAGTGTTCAGTATCCGGGATAGAACGTATGTAGATATAAGCAGTGTGGACATCGAGCTCAACACCGAATGGCGACAGTCTGTTTTATTCTTGACCTGAATATATATATGATAGAGAGATGAGAGAGAAATAGAGAGGTAGAGAAAGAGAGAGATGTATAACTTAAAGATTTTCTGTTTTCATGTAAAATGTTTTCTCAACTTCATACATTGAAAATAACAAAGATAAAGATACCCGTCTCAAGAAATGTAAAATAAACATTTTCGGGAACAACAAAATTATTCAGACAGCCATAAAATCTAACGACAAGTTTCTTTTAAACTTTCTAAACAGAATCAAAGAAAATGTATTTAAAAAAAATATTTGTAATACAACGTTCCGAAGTAAAGCACATTCTCAGTGTATAAATTCTAGGACACAACTTGAATATCCAATCTGAGGCTGAAGTAGAATAACGGCCAACAGCGCAGAAAATAACAGGAGACACTTAGCCTTGTAGCTTTGGATGGCGGCCAATCTAGAAGATCAATTCTGAATTTAAAATGATGGAGAAAGAAACGAGAAACCACTTACTGATCTTTCCCAAGAAATATACAGTTTGCCGATGATTAAAGGGAATGGACGCTGAAGAAACAGGAGGAGGGTGCGATCAGATTGTATCTGTTATTATACTTGGCGCTACAGGGTAGCATAGCGGCAGAACGTAGGTGGTCACGACTCTTCACAGTTTCCTTTTATTTATCATCTGTGAATTACCATTGAGAATTTCTCATCTCGCAGACTTCTAGAGAATCCCATCTCCCCTGCTATTTAAACAGTGGAGAAAGATGATACGTCCCTTTGCCAAATGAAAAAGTGAATGCAAAAGACACTCACAATTTGTGTTCCCTTTCGAACTTGGAATAGGCAGAAACCCTACCTCTGTTATCCTCCGCTCGAGGATAAATGGACTGAGTCCAGTAGTAAATCAGGTAATACTGAGTTTGAAATTTTGGTTTCAGTCTTCGTTCAATGGATGCATGAGTTGCGTGGAACAAACTTCACAAGATTTGGCGCTCGAACCTTTCATCCTTTTTAAAAGTCTAAACTTTTCGAAAACTGATTGAACCAGTCCTACTGCATAGATCAGAAACTTGGATACTATCCATTCGTTTTGAAAAATCTACTTAGAAATATCCAGAACATCATTTGGAGATCCTACGCAACGCTTGATACAATTTACGGAGAACTGAGACTAATATTTCTTAAGCTCAAACAAAAGCGTTTGCATTTTGCTGGTCACTGCCACCGGGCGAACGGGGAAATCGTCCCATCCTTACTTCTAAGGCAAGTTGACTTTCCCAGACCCCATGGTTCGGGACTCAGGGTTAGACATTGGGAATCTGGGACGACAATGAAGGACTGAGCAGTGTGGAAAGGGATTGTTAATGGATTTCCGACCAACCACAGGGAGGTCGAAGGATGATGATGATGATGATGATGATGATGATGATGATGTACTTTCGTTTTTGTGTCTTTGTTACATTATTAGATGTCACGATAAAATATCTCGTTACTGACATGTCACTATAGTTGGCTGAAGAACGAACTGGCGAAGAGTACTTACGCCAACTGCTTTTCCATAGCTATCTTATTTGTCCAAGCAATAGCAACAAAAAACTATTTATTCTATACGCAAACTTGACAGATTCCAATAATAATAATAATAATAATAATAATAATAGTAGTAATAAGCAGCTTATGATCATATTGAAACGCTTGTTCTCATCCGATCACCGAATGTTAAGCAACGTCGAGTCTGGTCAGTACCTAGATGGGTGACCGCTTGCGAATACCAGGTGGTGTAAGCTTGGATATGCGGGTGGTGTAACGGATAACAGCTTGGAATGAAAAATCAGAGAGCCGAGTTCGCATTCCAGTCGAGTTCTTTACATTGATTTATGCGCAAAATATCCTTGGGAAAAGTATGAATTCATCTCTCCTCCCAGCTATGGGTTAAAGAACAGGATAGACTGGGTCCTATAGTGTTGGTTGAATATTTAAAATTATAATTTGAAGATTAAAAATGAAGAGATTTTCTTCCTCCCCGTTTCTCTAACAGGTCTTTTTCATAAGTGGCTTTGTTAAGAAGAATTTGTTGCTTATCGATATGCATTTTTATATAACTTTTATAGTAACAAATAAAATTAAATGCCCACTTACTTTATAGTATAAAGTTTATACTATTTTTTGTGTAGGAACTGAGCAATTTAATTACATTGACTGTCTGCCATTAATAGCGTGATCTTCTAGATACACTAGTTTTATTTTTAGCAATAGTTGTATTTTTTATTTTATTTATTTTACGAAACACAGTCTTTATTCTTTATTATTGTTTTTATATAATTGTTATATTTTACCCCCCATCCCCCCCAAAAAAAAACAATTATCGGGAAGGGGAATATTCCTTTGAAATCTGACAGGGGTCAATAATAATTCCTGTAGATCTTCGTTTTTTACAATTATTTGAATACGAGAAAATTAGTAAGTAATCGTATATGAATTGTGTTTTTTTTGTTTTTTTTTTTTTGTTTTTTTTTCATTCCCGTCTTCATCACTCACGGCTTACAAGCGTTTGGTATTTTTTTCTGTTTTTTTAAATTTACTTATTTTATGAATTCTCCACTTTTTTCCCCCTGTATTTCCTTAATTCTATCCCATGTTCTTATCTTGGACGCTGTCTAGAATCTCAAAAAAAGCAGGCATGAAGGAAATAAATAAATAAAGCAAGTAATTAAGAAAGAAAGATAGAAAGCAAGAAAGAAAGAAATTGAATAGCTAAAATTCAAGTCCTCTTCAAACCCAAAAACATTTTTGTAATACAATATTTTTGTATGTAATACAAAGCTTCTTCTTATCATTATTATTATTATTTTTATTATTATTATTATTGTTGTTGTTGTTGTTGTTAATGCTGTCTTTGTTGTCTTCAACCAATTACGTTTAAATTGTTACGCGCCATTTCATTGAACGCGCCTGGTTTTAAAGCATATATATCGGTACAAATCTACCCTAATTGCAGGAATGCGTTTTCCTCTATTTTTTTTTTTTTTTCACCAACATGTTCACGGATCAGTTATATTTTTTCCCTTCTTCGTTCTCCAGTCACTCAAAATAAAATTATCCCCAGCAATGTCCACATTCCACCAATACCTTTTACATATCATTGACGTGACGATCATTCTTGTATCTGCTTCGCTATTGTCAGCCCTGTCAGGATTCCATTGGGAATATTAACAAAAAATTACCTGTCATTCAAAACTTACTTGGGATTTACTTTGTTATTTTAATCTAACAATAAGCAGGAGATTTCTTATCATATAATTATTGTTCATTTAACTAAATATTCAACATAGACACATGGACACGTTACACTCTTAAAATGCATCTATCTATCTATCTATCTATCTATCTATCTATCTATCTATCTATCTATCTATTTAAGACTGTAACCCGTCATAAAAAGGTGTTTTTATGTTGGGAATATAATTTCGCCATTTTGAGTAATATCGACTTTTGGTGTTTTTGGTCATTCATACGTCAACTGTACTGTAAATTTAGCCCTTTGAACTTTGACCGCCGCTTTACCGGTGGTAGAGAAAAATGACGCAATACTTTGCCACCGGTTGAACCGTGGTAGAGAAAAATGACATAATGCCCAGCCACCGGTTGAACGATGGGTAAACACTTGTAACTATTTTTTATATCTACCGTGAAACATGAAATACCAATTATTTGCAAATTTTGACTCAGGAGCTCAGAAGGCAGAAGGGTTAAAATTGTTCAGGAACGCAGGACTCAAAGGATTAAACGGGATTTCATATTAAGAAAAGCAGATTCAATAGTCACGTGACTTTTGACTTTTGACATCTACTGGAAACAGACGGATTATTTTTTACAATTTATTTTATGTAAAATAATAAATAGTAATTTTTCAAAATCTAATTAAGTAATGATTTAAATGACTAATTTTTGTCGGATTTATTTCGATAATAATTACTTCATTTTTGTGGGGGTGGGAAGATGTTTAATTGCTGAGTTTAAATTTAAAATTTTAAAAAGTTCAAGTTATTCTGTCGGTAGATTTTATTTAAGGTGTAATCAGAGTTAATTTTGGATAACTTTAAAAACAATCTAAAACCCTCTTTAAGTACAAAAAATTAAATTTTTCATTGCCATCTTATTTTTCTGTGGTTAAAAGCAAAACAAAAACTTGGATAAAAGATTTAAATTATAATAACATATGACATATTTTTTATAAAAAGTTCTAAAGTTATTGTTAAAATTTGTAACGTTTTTAGTCCCTACC